AAAAAATAAAGATAAATGGATCCTTTATTTTTAAAAAATAAAGATAAATGATCATTTATTTTTAAAAAATAAAGTTAAATAAATAAAGGAATACTTTATTTTGAAAAAATAAAAGGAAAATAAAGGAATAAATGATACTTTTTACGACGACAGATAATGTAATTGGAAGAACACTAGAATCATGAAATAAATCTGTAGAGAGATTATTACGATTTAAAAATTTAAATTTGATTTAAAATACGTTTCCCAAGATAAAATTTAAAAATAACAGAAATGAAAGCTTTATTTCTGATCTTTTAGGGGTACTAAGAAAGAGGAAAAGCTTCTTGTAACATTCTAATGTGATCTAAAGCTTTCTATGTATTCAGACATCTTTGTGAAGCTTTATTTCAGAATCATAGAATGTCTTCATCGAATCGATTATCACTCAATCTTCATATTTCTAAATAGAATTCCTTCATAATTTTGATTTTCACTTCTAATTATCCACAACCTTACCCAATATACTCTATATACTCTTGACCTCAGAAAGAATTATAAGCAATAGCATAAGTTTTGTATGTTTCGTGGAATGTCTGCTTGCTTGTGTGAACTGACAAGTACATATATATTTGGGAGATTTCCAAGAAGCTGTTTAAATTAAGTCCCCTCTATCCCGAAAACTTAGTCAGCTACATAGTTTCACCATCTAATTCTTGTCGCATTAAGCTGGTTGAGGATAAGAATCTAACTTTTGGAACTCGGAAGTTGGGTTTCGCTGTAAATATTGGCGCTATGAACATGAGAAGGATGCATGGTGTCATGACTCTTTCTATGTGTTTGGAAAGGAGTGTGAGTATGTAGCTGATGGAAGAAAACGTGATTGTGCACCTGAAAACGTTCACTGAAAGAAACAAATATGAACCAGTTTTTAACAATCATTCACACACTCATCATAAACTTCAATTGTAGCGATTCCGTTTCAAAGAAAAAATTTGATATTGCACTTGCAGTAGCAGTACAAAATGCAAGTCAGATCATTACGGTGATATGAATCAAAGGGCAGAAGTAACTTAGCTAAAGTAACACGATTTCGATAGTGCTTTTCGTGAAATGAAACATTTTTCGAATAAAAAAAGTACAGATGAATATGAGAAAATAAAATTAGTGCTTTGCAAATCAGTATTGTTCAATAATTTTGATAAGGACATATAAACTTTAGATATCTTTTATAAGAGGAAAATGGTCTATGCTCACAATTGTTGTCACGCTAGTAGAGAACGATCTATTTAACTGGAGTTGGCGGAAAATGTCGAAAAGGAAAATGTCGAAAGGGAAAAATGTCGAAAAAAAATAGAAAAGGAAAATCTAGAAAAAGAAAATGTCGAAGAGGGAAACGTCGAAACAAAAAACACATAGAAAGGAAAACATCGAAAAGCAAAAATGTAGAAAAGGAAAACGTCGAATTTATTTAAATATGTCACGGTCAAAATTAGATTGTTTGTATTCTCATTGGTTACTGTTACATAATCAATGATTATTCCTCAATCGTTATACACACATAGCTATGTGATGTCATCTCTACTTTTCCGGTTCTATTTGTTCGTCTATTTCGTCTTTCGTCCACACATTGACTCATCTTTTTTTCTGTTAACTTAATGTCTTTTTCTTTTTTCTTTGTTTTTTCTATATTCGTCTTCCAAGAAAGACGACCATTGTCTGTTTTTCCTTTCTCTCTTTGGATATAAATTCTTTTTTTTTCAACTTATGGCATTAAGTCTTATGCCTATTGATGAAGTTGAACGTCAATTTCAACGTTTACAAACTATTACATCGTCATCATTAGGTGATTTATTATTGTATTTTAAAAATCATTGGGTGCATGGTGTTGTTCCAATTCATATGTGGAATTTTTATGATGCCAACCATCGAACAAATAATACTTCAGAAGGTGAGAATGTTGTTGCTGTTCATCTCTTTCATTTCAAAGTTCTATCCTTCATTGTTTATATTTTAGCTTATAATCTTCGATTTGCAACTCGATTATCAAAAAAACATCCTAATATTTGGAGCTTTATACAATTAATTCAAAGTGAACATGTTCGTTTTGAACATATTTCAATTCAACTTGATGCTGGTGCATCTGCACCGAAACAATCGACAAAAACAAAAGCTTTTCAAATAAGATTTGATACTCTGCGTAGCAGATACATCAAAAAGGAAATCAACGCAAATGAACTATTGTCAGGTTTATCATTGCTAATTGGAAAGAAAAAAAAATAATATCTTCTTATCTTGCCAATATTCTCTTATCTTTTTCATTCTAAATTAATAAATTAGTCATATATCACAGGAAGAGATTAATTATTTCGACGTTTTCCTTTTCAAAATTTCTATTCGATGTTTTCCTTTTTAGCTGTTTACATTTTCGACGTTCTCCTTTTTAGCTGTTTACATTTTCGACGTTCTCCTTTTCGGCCTTTTCCTTTTTCCACTTTTTTTCAAAATTTTCTTCTTTCGACATTTTCCTTTTCGACATTTTCCACTAAGACCATTTAACCATCCCAACAGATCCTCACAAGTGGTAACTTCAATATGAACAAGAAACTATTCAAATATATCATTAATAACTCTTTTCTTGACTTTTGCCCTCTGGTCTCACGTACAAAGTGTGATCATCTGTTATTTTTTCGAAATCACCTACTCAATAACTTCATTAGAGTAAATTTGAACTGCTTGATGCAGTATTTGCTAAAAACAACTATGCGTAATTGTCTTGAAACCTGTGTGAAAATCCAGATTTTATCTGTATTTTTTTTTCATTTCAAATGAAAAATTAAGTGTCAGCGAAGCAAGAATAAAACCGAGACTCACTCATAATCATTAATTAATGCTCCAAAAAAAGTATATGATTTCTTATTTTAACAGCAAGCTAACAAATGCTTGTCACAGCTTAATTTTCGAGGATATACTTTCTGTCGATTGTATTAGAAAAATTCCAATATTGACTGTTGTATGAGAAATTCCTGTTGGTTAGTTGAACTAAAAATATCAGTAACTTACGATAACCCGATTAATTAAAAGTCTTAGTTGAAATTTGATTTTTATTTTTTGTATTCTTTTTTATTTCATGATGATGTGTTCTCTTGTTTTTATGTACTATAGACTGATATAGATTGCTCATATATTTACTATTATAATACTCTAGTGGTCTCCTATCTATACAGTATATCTTAGATTTTTATCCTTTTGTATATGTGCAGATATGATTTTGAATATAGTGATTTTCACATACTATTACAAACTTGATTTTCATTTGTATATTAAACCTTGTCTAACGTATTTGTTATATGGTATG